CCATCTCAGCTCGGTAGTACGTGGGATAGTACTTCTCTCGAATCATCTCCTTGAATCTCTCTCAGGTACAACCTTCTTTCTCGCCGGGACGCATACTCCAGTAGGCATTCCACCAGAGACGGGCATCACCGGTCAACTGAAGCTGTGCGCAAATAACGCGATATCGATCTGGACAATCCATGACCTCAAAAATCAATTCGAGGCCCTGAATCCACTCGTCTACAATACGCGGATCTCCCTTGCCGGAGAACTTCTCAGGGTGGTAGTCGCGGAACTGTGCGACCACTGTGGCTTGGGGGACCGCTGGCTGTTCGGGTTCCCTACGGGGCGGCATCTGAATATTGAAAAGATTCGACATGATTAAAATTCAATGAAATACTTTATCTGATCATTAAAACACACAGATCTCTTGACGAGTTGCTAAACATGACTGGAAAAATACTGACTGATATCCTGACTACTGGTCCTGAACATGATTCGAGCATCTTAACTAATTTATTACTGAAAATTTCTGAGCATAGAAATAGTACTTGTTTATAATTTGAAAACTTGAATCAGCATTTACCTGTAGTCGGCGAGGAGTGAGTATGACGTATTCAGGTTTTTCAAAACTTTCTGACTCGTGAAATTTTCCAGAGATGCAGAAACGTGCTCTGATACCAACTGTAACACCCCGCATTATCATGAAATCAGAGTGCGTAATTTCACATAATCTTTTAAAATAAAATCTTTTAATTTGCAAAAACTGAATTGGGGTGCTACCGTCAAAATATGACTTATTCTGAAAAACCGTTATTTTAATCTTTAGCAAAAATCTACGGTTTACTGAAAGCATTAAATATCTGAAAGTCCGATCAAAAGATAAATTCGTCAAAACATCATAATCAGCGGAAACGTAGCATAATCAAAATATTTACAATCACATGAGCAAAAGTCCTGAATCATCCGTCATCTCACACCTCCGGCCCGACATCCTGACCTGAAAATCATGATAAAAGTGGGTCGTGAGCACCAAAATACATTGTGCTCCGTGGAAACTCATACTAAAGTAAACATCGAAAATAATTATAATAACATGATCTTTGGCATGAACATGAACATGAAACCGGTACTGAATAATCATGAACTGATACTGATGGTGAGATAATATCGTCACCTGCCTGATACCTGAACATCTGCCAGCATAAATGCCGGACACCATGCGCACACTCTAGTGGGCAAATTAAGGCCACTAGAACCTAGAATGGACCGGCGACCATTCCTAGCGGATACTGATAATACACACCTCAAACATGGTAGAATAATTATAATCAATTAATACCCAATCTGAGTCCCCACATGAACTGTTTGAAAAAAATGGTAGTGCTGATATTGGATCCTGGTCAAACTGAAAATAATATAAACAATTACTAAATACTATGCTCAGACTGATAAAAATAACTTTTTAATATGTTAAGATGCTCTACTGGACTTGACGTGATGTTTGGATTTAACCGGTATAATCGGAACCGGATAAATCGGAACTGAACTGACATGAAATTACTGAACTGAACTGGACCCAGAATTTAACTAAAAATTGAACTTTAAATATGAACCGGGATTAAAATAATATTATTTGGGTCAAACCGGTACCAACCGGTCTAAACCGGTTTGGCCAGACCGCCGTTCTGTTCGGACCGGTCGGTCGACGGCTGAGTCGGCCCATGCCTTGTTGTGGCTATAGGCGCGGCTGCTGGTGCGATTAGGTGCTGGCATGGCCGCTACCGGGCTTGCCCTGGCCACGGCCGAGGGTGCTGTATGCACTTGGCCACGGCGGACGTGAGTTAGGCCCATCAGGGCACGGTTCTTGGCACTGCCGTACGCTACGTGCGTCGGCTGCCACTTGATTGGGCACCGTTCGGGTGCTGCCATGCACCGCAACGTACTGCTGAGGACTGACGAGTGCGCACCATGGCACTGGACAACATGACTGACACGGTGCGGGGCGCTGCCATGCGACCCCTACCTTGCTGGCCACTCGGGGCGTCCTATTGGGCGCTGCCGAGGTCGCTGACGCGCGATACCGCACGCTGGCGTGCATAGCTGGGTGCTGGCGTGCGCACGCGCATCGCCAATGACTGTCTGTCGTGGGTATCGACTGCACGCGGCACTCTACCGCCCGATCCCTTATACTCTGTACACTACCGATATGCTGTAACCGCGAGATGCGGACAGCGCGTGTACGGCCGACCCTCGTCGGCCGTCCGGCGAATTCTTCTGGCAACTTTAACATGATTCAACATAATATTACCTGACATAATCATATATGCTTACCCTTATCAAAATTTACAAACTTTGCCCGATGAAATAGTGGAGGGTCGAGGTCCGTGCGCCATGCACGTATGATCGGCTTTAAGCCATCTCCTCGACCGGGCACAAAATTTCTTCGACCATTACGACTTAACTGAGTATAAAATGATCTAAAATGATCAAATAGTCATGAAGTGCACGGTAGTTGCCGAATAGAAAAGGATTTCACTCGGTCAGAGCCTAAAATGGTCTAAACCGAGTACAATATGGCATATTCATGAATTTCCAAGGCATGAGCTGAACATTTAATCCCGATATAAAATCATTAGCATGAAAAAGAATGGAGGATGAGGTTACCTCCTTAATCGGTCGGCTGAAATCGGAAAATAAGGCGTGATTCTTAGCTCCGTGTCCGCACGCGTGTGTGTGTATTCTTAAGTGCGTGTGATGAGGGTTAATATTCACTTAATTTTGCTGAGTTTGTAGCTTAAAGATTATGCTACAGATCCGCTCCCAAATTCTGATTTATAGCACGGTAAATATTGGGAAAATTGGTGGGAAAAATCTTGGCCAATCGACTCTCGCCAGTTGCCGTGTGTTGGAGCCATGAGGTGTCCTCAAAATTGCTTAGTCATCGCCCTACAGCATGTCAAGCTTCCATGTGGTAGTGAAATCATGACATTGTACGTGAAACATTTGGCCAGCCCAACTCTTCCGCCATTAGGCGCGCTAAGCGCGGCTTAAGTGCGCTAAGTGTGTTTGATGCATAAGTGGGTTTTGACCCCCGACGACAAGAAGGGTCGAGAGCCAAGACAACCTGAGG